CTCACCCTCCCACCCCCGTGCCTCCGTGTGCTGTCCCCCACCCCGCGTCCTCGTCGTGTCCCCTGTCCCCCCATCCCCCGTGCCCTCCCCTGCGACACCCCTTGCCCCCCGCCGTGTCCCGTAACTCCCTCTCCGTGTCCCTCCCTCGCTGACCCTGGCCAGGAAGGGGCTCTGGGTGCCCAGGTACCGCGACATCAGGTAGAGGCAGAAGAGGTGCCGGTCGATGCCGGAGCCGGTCATGGCCAGGCGGTAAAGCTGCTGGTGCTTCTCGGCCGCCGCCTTGAAAAGCTTCTGCCGCTCCGAGCGCTGCGGGGGGGCGAGGGGGGGGGGCTGAACCCCGACCTGACATCCTGACCCGCACCCCAACCCGCACCCCAGGGCTCCCATCCTGCCCGGGGAGGGAGGTGGTGCCAAGAAGGACAGGGACCTCCCCGGGAGAGGGAAATCCCTCAGGGGTGGGAGCTCCACAGGGACAGGGACGTCCCTACAGGGCAGGACCCTTCCTGGGAACAGGGACCTCCTCAGCGACAGGGATCTCTCCAAGGGACAGGGAGCTACTCCAGAGGTGGGAGTAGCTCCAGGGATGGGGATGTCCCCAAGAAATAGGGTTCTCTCCCAGAGGTGAAGACCCCCAGGAGGGATGGGACCTCCAGGAAGGATGGGGGCTCCACAGAGATGGGCACTGTCCCCAGGGACAGGGCCATTCCCAAGGAGTAGAACCAGACTCTGCCAGAGGTGTAGATCTCCACGAGGGATAGGGAACCCCCCCAAGGGACAGGGACCCCCAGGAGGGCTGGGGACCCCCAGGAGTGCTCACGCTGTGCCGGGGATCAGCCATGCTGCGCACGAAGGCCGTGGCCTCGGCCGTGCAGGACCGAACCGTCTCCGTGCGGCCCTCGCGGAACAGCCGCGTCATGGAGGCCTCGTAGGTCAGGCAGAAGGAGCCCTTGTCCTGTGGGAACGATGGATCAGGGGGTGAGGGGGCTGGCCCTGGCCCCATGCTGGTCCCTGGCCCTATTCACATCCCACCCTCATCTTGCACCTGGCCCTATTCCCCTGCACATCTCCATCCCACCCTATCCCCATCCCTATCTCATCCATATCCCATCCCATCCCATCCCATCCCATCCCATCCCATCCCATCCCCATCTCCTTCCCCGCTCCATTCCCATTCCTTTCCCCATCCCCCCTGTCTCATCCCATCCCACCCCATCCTGTCCCTGTCCCACTCACACGCCATCCCCATCTGCATCCCTATTTCCATCCCCGCCCCTATCCCATCTCAATCTCCATCCCCATCCCCAAGCTCACCCCTACCCATCCCATCCCACTCCATCCCATCCCTCTCATCCACATCCCACGCCCAGCTCCTTCTCTGTGCCATTCACACCTCCATCTCCACCCCAATCCACCCATCCCTCACCATTCCCACCTCACCCCACCCCAATCCCGCCCCCTCCCGTCCCCGGCATTCCCGGCCCGGCTCACTCGGAAGTGCGCGAGCTGCAGGGAGATCTGGATGAAGGCGTCGGGGCTGGTCCGGCAGCGCTTGA